AACAACAATGGCTATAATCAGAAAACTCTTGGTTTATAAAAATTGACTTTTGAAGCTGAAATGTGAAATTCTGATGTTTTCAATAAATTTGTCTCTATTGGAATGAGGCAAATTAAATGTCGGGATTAACGATCAAAAATGCATGACTAAACATGAATATATCTGTAGCAAATATAAAATCTTATGATGTATTTTTGTGCTCTTGAATTTTTGCGCTCTCAGGAGAGCCTGAGAGAGCACTCCTATCTGGTTCGTGTCTTCTGATCAGTTGGAACCCAATTTGAGATGATGGCTCATTACATCATCTGCTTTCTTCTAAAAGGGGGGGATACCAATTCTTCGGCAAGATGATTGCCATACCTGTTTACCCTCAGGAAGTCTGTCGGTCTCTCGAGATTAGATCTAGGTGAGGCATTTCAAGAAATAGCATTGATCTTTTATGGTAACACTCCTTCAGATGAAAGAAAGAAGCAACCCATCTGGGTGATCAGATAACAGAGCAACCGTTTTCCATGCACAATCTGAGATATCTTGATTTTATGGACTCTGATTGCAGCTGAATTGTCAGAATGGTAAATGGTTCATTAAGGAGTTTTCCTCCAGGAGTTTGTCTTATCATTCATTATCAAGACAATCTAGCTAATGGCTTTTGCTGCAGCTTGTGCTGATGAGGCATATGATGAAGTGTTGCATGAAAGGAGCAGAGCAGGATATCAGTAGGAGATGCAGGGGCGTTTGTTTGTTTGTTTGTTTGTTTGTTTGTTTGTTGCTCTTATGTCCCCATTTTTCTCTCACCACACTTTCTTGTGGTAAATTGGACTGACAGATGGTGAGTGGTCCAAGTCAACCAGAACCTTTGGGGTCAGTGAGGATTTAATCTTGCATTTATTGCGGTATCAGCCCTTACCAGATTAGTAGTTTACGGGTATTTTTGGTTCCAAAATTTCCATTGCTAATCAAAACAGTTGCTAAGTGAGTTTCACCCCACGTTATGACCTTTTTGCCACTGTTGTTAAGCGAATCACTGCAGTTGATAAGGGACTCATACTGTTCTTAAGTGAATCTGGATTCCCCCCTTGGCTTTGCTTGCCGGAAGCCATCTTTGGAAGGTTACAAATGGTGACCGCATGACCCTGGAATAGTGCAACTGTCATAAATACACACCTGTTGCCAAGCGTCTGAATTTTGATCACATGACCATGGGGATGCTGCAATGGTCGTGTGAAAACCAGTCATAGGTCACATTTTTCAGTGCCGTCGTAACAGAATGGTCACTAAATAAATGGTAAATTGAGGATTATCTGTATTGTGTGATAACCAAAACCAGAAGTATATTAGTGGCTTATTATGTGATATTCTGGACCATAGATCAGTGTCCATTTTTAAAATTTGCCAACAAGAATAATACTGGGACAGTTTGGATGATAATCATAATGTGGACTCTTCTCATATGCCTTGTGTTATTCTTTAGGATAGGTATTTGAATTATCTTTTGCCAGGAGATAGAAAAAGGTACACTAGTCTTTAATGCATCATAAGGTTTGTTGTTTACAGTATAAAAAGGCTGAAGCAACTTCTTCCACACAACTGAGGATCATACTCTTTCTCAAGTAGCTTTTTTAAACTAATAAAAATGGTTGATTTTAAAATTCTTTTTTTTTTCTAGCAGTCCCCGTATCCTACTATAAGCCAAAAGTTGGCATCTTTTTTTGCAGGAGCTCAAATAATTACACACAATGTAATAAGGAACAAAGTGTTAATTTTTGGACTAGGGCCCTCATGCTAGACGAACATTGTCCAGATGCTAGAATGTACTACTTGTGAGCCACTCAAGAGGCAACAGGGCCCACTTGTTTAGCCTACAAATGGGTGTGTGCGAGGGTAATTTGTCCAATCTAATTTCCTTTTCCACCACCCCCTTTCCTAAAGCAGCTTTCTCTCCCAGGTTTTGTTTGACTGAGTGCAGGGGCTGAGTAGCCCCTCTTCCCTCTGGCCTTCTGTTGATCATCTTTGGTCATGCACATGCAGTTGCCAAGCAACAGAACGGAAGTGCCAGCCGCAGCCACATGGTTTTGCCCAGTCATTTGGTATTGGCATCTTGGGCCAAAGCCTCATTTTTTTCTTGATCAAATGTTTCTAGGGGAACGACACAGCCAGCGTTGCCCTGGAGGCTATTTAGACACAATCATCCCTCTTGGTTTTCTACTTTCTTTGGCTCTAGTTTTCATTTTTACTTGATTTCTGGCTGAAAGTTCATGAATTTGGGTCTGTGTTGCTCTAATCCAGTTTCATCTGAGATTAACGTCACCCTCAATTTCTTTTCTTTCAAGTGATAAATGAGATGACCTATTGTCACATCAAAACTTTAGAGCACATTTTAAACGTTAGTTGATATGAATCAAGTTTTATGCACACGTCGGCATGCTTCAAATAGCCTTTGGTTTCTGCAAGATGTTTGAAATGGAGCAAAGGGATCAATTCCCACACTTCCACCCAAGAATTTAGAAGTACATTTATGGGGTTTTCACACAACTATTACTGGGCTTCCAAACTGAGGTGGGAGGCATTCTTAACCTACCAGACAAGAAGCAGTACGCATCTATTCAGGATACTTCCCCCCCCCCCCAAGCATTTTTTCTACAAAGTTTTTTTTTTTTTTAAAGGGCAAGGAGTTGTGAGAAAACATTTACAAATATCAGCTAATGACATCTGATCCCCTTTTAGAATTCCATGATTGGCATAGTTATTTTCCATGCTGATAGAATGTGGCATTGAGTTTTACATTCTTTTAATTGAGTCCTGAATCCAATAGAAGAAAATATATATCAGGACTCATAGCTCAGACCCTACAGCATTCCCCTACATATAACAAAAAAGTATGGATCTTGTATATAGATGACAGTTTTGGAAGAATAAAATAAAAGGAATGAGTAGAAAAGACACATGCAACAATCAACAATATCTTCAGAAGAATAAAATTCACAGCATCCTAGGCCAAGCCAAATCCAAAAATGCTAGGGAATTCCTAGAAGATTGACATTCAAGACAAACCATCCATCAATAGATACATAGCAATAAATCATACACACAATTCAAATGAGAAAATAAGAAGGTTAAGAAGGAAACATAAAAACCAGAATACATCCCCTCCATCAGCCAATACTCAGATAAACAAGGATTAACATCAGACAAACAAGCAGAAAATGATACCCTAATCAAAGAAACTACCAGGGAGAAAATAGTAGTATGCCCACTAACACTGGCAGGGCAAGCTATTGTACATAAACAGTGAGCAAACCTAGTCACTCAGTGAGTGAATGATGTTACCTAGTTGGGTGATGAAGTGTCTGCAAGCAATAGCCAAGCTCAGAGACCACCAAGAATTCCACATGAGTCTTGAATGCTGTGAGCACTGAATTAGAGGCCACTCAGTAATTTTTAAATGTTACATATGCAAGCATGTAAAATTACAAGATATAATCTGGAGTTTTGAAGCAAAACAGATTTTCTGAGGCTTTGCTTCCCATGTGAAATATATTTATTTATTTTATTTATTTATTGGTTCGATTTATATGCCGTCCTTTTCTGGAGACTCAGGGCAGCTTACAATGCGTTAAGCAATAGCCTTCATACTTTTGTATATACCTGCTTAGTAGGGCTTTTGCCCCCCCCCCCAGCGGTGTTCTTTTTTATACAAAGTCAGCTTATTGCCCCCACAAACCGGGTCCTCATACATGATTCCACATTAATAATGCTTATAAACTTTCATACAGCGAACAATTAATTATGAAATATAGTTTTTCTCATAGTGTGATAATTGTACATCATTGGTACATTTTTCTGCAGTGGCCTGGGGTGCTATGTGAGTCCAACATTAAGTCTGGAATTGTTGAATTGTTCAGTTTTATTTCTGCTGGCAGGATCATTTTTTAAAATCGCTGTCCCAATTGATGACATTTCTTACTCTTAATCCTTGTAAACATCCCAGAATCATATGTGAGTAGATGACTGTAAAAACCGAAATTATAAACCGTGTGTCAGATAATACCACTGCATATTGTTTTATTCAGGAGTAAGCTCACAGTGGTATAATCAAGATCAGAATGCTGTAAATAGTATGGGGGGGGGGGCTAATATTTTCTCTGGCATGTGACTTAAAACACACACTCCTCATATGAAACCAATTTATTATTATTATTATTTAATCCCTATATCCATGCAACTGTGGTGGTGGATTTTTTTTTCCTCTGAAGCCCCCCTGTGATGGACAGTGTCATTTATCACAGTCCTGGGAGGTTTATGAAACTGAATTCATATTCAAATGCTATGAGGGCAGGAACCATCTATTAGAAGCCAGAAAATGCTAAATATATATAAAACAAAGATGATATAACACCAGCAGAAGGAATGGATGTGAAGGATAGGTGATGCCCACCTCTCTGCAGCTGATTTTTCTCAGTCTTTTTGTTTTCTTCGATAAATCTTATTTTCAGATCGGGCATTAAATCAGAGGGAAATGTGCTTCCGAGAAAAAGTTTCAAGAGGAATCCATGACTTAAGGAAAAGGATGGGGTAGTCTCTTCCTGACTGTTCCATTGCTCATTAATCATTTTACTTTATAAGCATTCAGCATCAGACAAGTCACTTTTAGCACTCAGCTTCTTCACTTTCATTTGCAGTTTGTTTATAGTCAGGCGCTGATGGCAGCTAAATATGCCAAATGGAAATTTTTGTGTTGAAACCTGCATTGATGAGATTGGTACTTTTCCACTGAAAAGTCAGAGTCACCTTGAGAGGTGTCACCAAGAGTCACCTTATAGTGGAGATAAGCAGCATAAAAATTTAATAAATAAATATATACATAAATATTTTCTTTCACTTGCAAATATTGAATGGCTTGTCATTGAGAGAACAAACTTGTAGTTGCATTTTTTAAAAATCTAAGTTTCTATAGAATTCTGTTTTCTATAACTTACTTTGCTTTTGTTTTTTCTCTGTAGGATTATGTGCCAGAAGGAAAATGAAAATAGGGATCCAGAAAGATGCTGACAGAAAGGCTGTCTCTGGAGAAGATATAAATCCATCATCTAAACATATCTTCATATCTTTTCAACTTTGCCGAAGTTTTGAACTAAGCTTCAGAAAACCATAGAACTGTGAATGGTACCTCGAATTTAGCTTTGGAATAAATTTAAGTAGAGATACATTAGAAATTTACCTTCTCTGCATAATGTTTATGCACAAAAATGGAAGGACACTTTGATTCCCACAATGGATGAATGGCTGCAAAACTTGATGGAATTAGCAGAGATGGCTAAATTGACTGCTTTGATTAAAGGAAAAAAAAAACACAATTACTTTTGTTTCTACTTGGAAACCACGTCTGGACTTCGTACTTGAGATGGAAAAAAAAATGAAATTTTGATTTGAGGTTTTACCAATTAGATAGGTTTGTTGTTATAGAAATGACTAGTTCATATTATTACGTAAAAGTAAAAAGTTGAGGTTTGATGCTGTTATCTTATTCTGTTCCACCAAAGGGAGTCATAAGCCTTTTCTTTCTTCTCCCTCTTTCCCTTATACTTTTCTCTTTCCTTCTCCATCCCTTACTTTCCTACTACTTTCTTTGGTATTTTTGTATTTTATATTATAAACTAATAAAAAAATCAAAATAAATTTATCGTCTCTGAAAAGTAAAGGAATTAAACACTTCCTTATGTATGCAGAACTTTTCTTACTATTAGCTTTCAGCTATGATCTATTAGTGTGATGTGGATTACTAAAATTCCTGTTGCCATTCTGGTATCTTTTTCTTCTTTGTGAGACCCTAAACTTTGCATTTCTGTACAGTAGTTGTGAATGAAAGAACGTATTTGTCTCTCTCGGGATTTTTTTTTTTTTGAGGCACGTTCTTATTATGAATTAATTTTATTAAATAAAAAGACTTGCGGGTCTGTCTCATGGTGGGTTTTGGCCCAGAAATATAGACAGTCAAAAGGGTATCCTTTCCTCACTTTAACAGCTGAGATTCTGGAAGGTGTAAATAGTTCATCTGGATAGCACCAGGGTGAAGAAGAGTTTAACAGAATATGACAGTTTGATGATTCAACACATTGTTGAATCTTTGTGAATTTTCATTTCTCCCATTACTAGATTTTGGTCTTTATTAATTTGAATGTAGTTTGAATTTTTCTTTATGGAGCTCCATAATGTACATTCAGGCAACCACACTTAGTATAGCCAATTGTGAGAAATGCTGGGACATGGAAATCAACAAAATCTGGTAGGTCACCAATTTCTAAATCCCTGTTGAAACACCTATAGGTGTTGTAGATTCAAAAATGGTATTTAGCTTTTCTCCACATTTCAACTTGTATATGCTGGCAAATCAGAGCCAAAGTGTGCTTACCCCAATACTCCTGAGAATAAGCAACTGTGGCATCACACTCCCATATTTCTATCTAAATTGCCACTCTGCAGTAGCTTCAAACTGAATATTGCTCTTTCTTAGTCACCTAATTGAAGAGAATTGATACAGTTGGGATCAAGCACATATTCCAGATTTGAGGTAAAAAAAAAAAGATTTTTTTTCTTTAAAGTGAAACCAGCCAACTTAAGCATGCTTTTGAAAAAGCATAGGAAAATTTGAAGTCTATACTGTGTATAGCTTGGAGCTGCTCTATGTTCAATAAGAACTTGATACATTATTAAAAGGAATAAATTCAGGAGATGTGTATGAAACAGTACAAAAGCTGGCAAATGACTATTTTACATTTACACGTCCCATTAAGCGCAAAGAAGTCCCACTAAGTGTTTTAGACCTGGTATTCTTATGATGGAGTTTTGATCTTATTCATAGTCCACCATGATGGCAAGCTTAACTCATCCATAGCGGTCTCAATTTTAAAGTCTTTTTTCCCCATCTATCACTGACTATATAACTCTAACTCTAACCCTAATCCTAACCTGTTCAAGCATTACATGGGCAGGTTATATACTATACAATGATATACCTACCAATCCACCTATTAGTGGTTTTTCAAAAGATTGGGAGACTTACAGTATAAAGGAGAATATTTGTAGCTCAGGGATGAAAAGGGGTTCTTGGTGCTCTCTGAACTTGGTTGTTTTCTTGCAGACATGTCATTCAGACTGACGTTGTTATCTAATTTGGGCAATAAAATGTCTGCAAGAAAACAATCAAGCCTAGAGAGCACCAAGGAGTCCTCTATTCAAAAAAAAAAGGGGAGACCTTTTCTGTAAAAAAACAAGGGCTGGCATTGGATTTAAACCGAGAAAGGGATGTATTGTTGATTCTGCCCGAATGAATACATTGAACCTTTTCTTTTTGCATGAAAGTGCAGTTCTGCTTTCTTGAACATCGTGCTGCACATTCAGTGAGATGCTTCTAGGTGCTGCCTTCTGTGCTGTTCACTGCCTGTCCTGGGATTTCCTGGAAGCGCTCACTGATTCTGGATACTTGGGAGTTGGGCTGAGATTGATTGGAGCTCTGATAAGGGAAGAATCCATTTCCCCTTCTAGCTCAAAAGAAAAACAGTAAAACTGTCTGCCAGTCTACTTGAAGTCTCATAGAGTAGACAGGTTTATGGTTCTTCCTGCCATTTGAGCTTTCTAAAGAACAACAGGCCTGTGTTGAAAAACAACATGAGCTGTCATTCAGATGATTTGAAAGATGGTTAAATCCTTAATCCTAAACACTCACCCACACTTGTCCAACCTGCCATGTTATACTTAAGCAGAACAGTTTCCTATTTCTCTGCAGTTTCCTATGAGCAGCTGACACTGGGTAGCAAGTGAGATCTACTAACCACTGTTCTTAATTGTCCTAGAGTAAAGCTGTAAGTGACAGTTTGTTTGGTATAGTGGTAAGGCACCAGGCTAGAAACTGGGACTCTGTGAGTTTTAAACAGTCTCCCAGTTTCCAGCCTGGTGCCTTAATCACTACACTAAATTGGCTATCACATACAGCTTTACTGAGTTTTAAAAACTGGAGCCAGCTGGATGACTCTCACTCTCTCTCAGCCCTAAGGAGGAGGCAATGGTAAACCAGTTCTGAAATCTTACAAAGAAAACTTCAGAGACTTGTCAATATTGCCAATATTGTCAGCCAACACTGACTTGAAGGCATAAAATATAGATAGATGCTAGATAGATAGATAGATAGATGATAGATGATAGATAGATAGATAGATAGATAGATAGATAGATAGATAGATAGATAGATAGATGATAGATAGATAGGGTAGGTAGGTGGAGACAGACAGACAGATGAAAATGATAGATGATGGAGAGATAGATGATTGAAAGATAGATGAGAGAGAGAGGGAGATTCCCTAATGGGAATGTTGCTTCCTTGTCCACATTGTTTCCAATTTTTATTTTTCTAGTTATCAGAATTTTACTGTTTAGACATGTTATATATTATAGGGTCACCATCAGTATATATATTTGACAACTTCTGGTGGGACCGGAAGGCCTGTTTTTTTGCTGTCCTCAGCCTCCAGGGCCTCTCTAAGAGTCTGGGGAGGGCAAAAACAGCCTTCCCCACACCCTGGAGGTCCTCTGGAGGCCAAAAACACCCTGTTTTACAACTTCCGGTCCCACTGGAAGTTTTCAAATGGGCCGTTTTCAGCCTTTGGAAGACCTCCAAAGGAATGGGGAAGGCTGTTTTCGCCCTCCCCAGACTCCTAGAGAGGTCCTGGAGCCAGGTGAGAAAGAAAAACGGGCCTTCCCCCCCACCCAGGGCCTCTGGAGGCAGGAAACAGCATATTTCCCTACTTCTGGTGGCCCAGAAGACCTGAAAATCAGCTGGCCGGCGCATGCATGCACGCCGGAGCTGAGCTCGCGTGCCCACTGATATGGCTACACGTGCCACCTGTGACATGCGTGCCATAGCTTCGCCATCACGGCACTATACTATACCCTTGGCAGTAATTTACAGAAAGTATCAGTGACTGCATTTTAAGCAGAAAAAAGGGATGAAATGTATTGCGTTACATCAACTGAAGATCAAATATTTCCTGGATGATATTGACTCGACATAGAGATACTTAACCGATGTAGTGCCAAAATGTGGCACTGTTGGCACATCTCTGAACTGTATCAAGAGCCCCAACTTTTTATTTAAATCATTAATTGAGTAATAAAAGGGCGTGAACATCAAAGTAATCTGGTTTTTATTGAGGCTTTCTGATCTGGCAATAATTTGGTGTTTTTTTTTAACTGAGAGATTAAAACAGAGAAATTGGAAGGTGTGTTTTTACTTTCAAATAGTAGAGATTTTGAGTGAATTCTATGCAGAAAGCAAGGACATTTCAAAAGTAATTCAAAGAGAAATCGGAAGAGATACAAATAGAGGCCTCACATGGAGAATACACAAACTTCAACAGGTGCAACAAGAAAGGGATGATACTACCATAAACGGGGCACTACAGGTATCATTTTTTCTAAACTTTGGGCTTGATGGTGGATTTAAAAAGCTTAACATGGATATCAATGGAGTAAATGCTCCCCAAAAGAGAAAAAAATGTTATTTGAAAAAAATCCAAACAAGATATAATTTCCCTATACAAAAAAGGATAATATATTTGATTTATACAAATTTGAATGAAGAAACAACAGAAGCAACAACAACAAAGAAACAGAGTTGTTTTATGTATAAATTCCCAACTAAAACACGAACTGGTACTGTCTGAGAAATATGGTAGTAGTGGACTGAATAGAATTGTTGTGGTGGAAGATTGCATGGGACTAAAACTCTGATACTGGGAATTGATACCCCAAATGAGGCCAATATATATATATTTAATACATTTATGGAGAGATTAATAGGGGATTGGAATTTGGTTATTTCCCCATAACTGGACAGAACTCCTGGAAAAAATATTAAAAATCTGTTAAAGCAAATTATCAAAAGTTTTCTTTGATTTGATGGACAATTTAGGGCTGGTTGTTATATGGAGACAGAAAAATAGCAATTCAAGAGAGGATATCTACTTTTCTGAAAGACATAGCTCATTTTCAAGAATAGGCATGATTTGAATTTCAAATAATTGGGGCCACTAAGGTTTCTAAAGATACTATCAAATATTTTTTTCACATCATATCCCTGTGAGTTGGTTATAAAAGAAAATTGAATTCTTCTAGATGGAGACTGAATGAAATGCTGTTACAGAAAAAAAAGGCAATAGTGGATCATGTAAACAAAACTAATTTTTTAAAACATTAGATAAAGACATTGATTTAAGAATGGTTTGGGATGCAAGTAAAGCTTTTATTAGATGTTATTTTATATAACAATAGTGAACAAAAGTATGGTGTTCATGTATTTCTTGATAGGGTGTTTGAATATATATCAGCTGACTATTGCATATAGCATATCACTTCTTGAATGAATATTTTTAATGGAATGTTTATTGTAAAAAATGTCAGACCTGATTGTCCTATTTGGTGAATTTTCCAATTCAAAGAATGTTTAGAAGCAGTCTGCCTATTGTCACCAACCTATAAAGTCAAGTTCTTGGTGCAAAGAAAAGTACAGGGATAAGTAGTTGAACGTGACTCAAGGAAATCTTTATAAAAGAAAAAGATGTAGTTTTGGTTTTAGATTTTGGCTTGTTCTTCATCAGTATATTTATTCCATGGAACTTAAATGAAATGTAAACAAATGGTTTGGCCAAATCAGATCTTCT